ATTTAGATTTAGATTTAGCATTTAGATTTAGATTTAATATTTAGATTTAGATTTAGCATTTAGATTTAACATTTAGATTTAGATTCAATATTTAGATTTAACTATTTAATATATTTCTAAGTTAACAAATATTGCTGTAAATGTGGTAAAAGGCGACGTTAAAAAATTCACAATACTTTTTTAAACATTGTTTGAAGCTAAATGTGGCAAAATGTTGATGTTATTTTCAGCGTGAGACACTTTACAAACGGCACCCCATAATCAACATCAGTGTGCATATTTATTATTTGTTTACCTGCAAATCATAAAAAAGTAATGGCCAGCTCTGCTCTTTCTCATATTACAGGTATTTAATCAGCTGGACAGCCACTTTTTAAATACTTCACCTATTGAAACAAAATGTTCTCTTAATATCCTCTTCACAACTACAATCTTTTCTTGGGCCGACCTTCTTGTTTTAGAAGAAGAAGGGCTCTCTCACTCTTCCCCCATCCTGTGATTTGAGAAGTCACTTGTTGTTTAAGCCTGTTATGTCATTAAGCGCTTACCTGCAGATTAACACAGCGGGAGAAACTCTTACCCTGCCCCCCCTTTCTCCTCATCCCCTCACTTGTTGTCAACACTGCCCACTGTTTTGCATTGGAACACATTTCAGAGAAACATATGGTAACGCAGTGGAGTTGAGCTGAGATGGAAATCCCTGAGGTAAACCTGTGTGATCTTACAGCAGGTCATATCAGACTTGCACATCTGTGCAGCTACTGCACAAAGGTTTTATTTAAGCGGTTTGGATAATGCCTGGGATTGGGGTCAGGAGGAAGCTATATGTTTAGATCTGGTTGGGACTGTAAAGACTGTCAGATGTGAGCTGCAGGGTGATTAGTGGTACAAGCAAAGCAAATTTTCCTGTCTTCCTTTGTAGACAGAATTTTGATACTGCAAGCTCCCAGCTGCCGTCACATCACATTGCACCATCTGTCCACGTCTATTTGATCAAACACTGTCCCACTAACCTCAATACAAAATGCTGCAGATTCGGTGTGCAGGGAACAATTGCCAAACCCAGGATTTACTGAATACAATCAAGTGTTTATTCTGTTACTTCTGTGACTGAGCTGTGTCTTGGCAAGAATCTGGTGATACAATATGTATCACAATACAGAGGTTACGATTCAATATATCGCGATATTTTATGACACTATTAGCAAGGCAATACATTGTGATACATTTATGACTTTCCCTGTTTCACATGTTCTTTGTGTTTACATTGGTGATGTGTTGTTATATTGGAGTGGAAGAGTCAAATGTCTGAGGTCAGGGGTTTAAACACAACACACAATGAACCACTGCTGCAAATCTTTGCATGTTAATTATAAATTAAAAATTGATAGAGTTTTTGAGAACCAATACAGTATCACAACACATAATATTGCAATGCTCAAGTGCATCAGCATTTTCTTAAACCCATATTTGTGACAACAGCTGTAAAAAGTTTGAATTTAAATGTTAAGACCACATTTGTTCCATGTTGCATAGCTTTTATAGAGAGACCCGAACATTTGTTTGGTATGTATTTTTAATTTCTCCAAGGTATTTGAGATCAGTAGGACTCAATAAGTATAAAAACTTCCAATGTCTTCAAACGAGTACTTCCTAATTAACAGTGTCTTAATCTTGTTACTTTAGCTAAATTTGGTCAAATGTGTTGCCATATCAAACTACAAACATTATTTATCATAAATAAACAAGTTTGAACCATAAAATGTGATCAGGTTTTGGACCTTGTCCACTTTTGTGTCGGGATCGCCTGCAGACATCTTGTTTTTATATGGATTAGTGTATTGTGCTCTCATTACCACTAGATGGCACAAAAAGTGTCCACAAACTAGGACAATGGGTCTAAATTAAGAAGAATGAAGTATGGGGTCAAGTAGTCTGAGTGGGCGGAAGTTTGCTGCATAGATCAGCCTCTCATTGGGCGGAACGAGCCACCCGCTGAAGTCCCGCCCTACCACCTCCGGTTGTGTAGCAGTTTTCAACCGTTTTCAGCACGTCCTTTACTAACTTTTGCGGTGTTTGATCTTGCGGGGATGTAGCCATTTTTCTGCCATGGTTCGCGTCCTGTAGGCGATATTTTTGTGGGCGTATTACACCAAAACCTGTTTCCCCCCGGCAATATTTTTGCAAGCGCACCGTTGCTGTGGCACCGCCCAGAATAATTGTGATTGGTTGAAAGAAATACAAGCACCCAGAGCGTTTTTTTCTCCAATCTTAAAGTGAGAGTCGGCCCAGCCAGACCTTTCTTTTCTTGAGAAAGGTCTGGTGAGCGAGACTAGGGGTCAAGTAAACTCAAAATCTGATGTCCTCATATGAGGACACAGGGTCTCAGGAGGATATATTGAATACACATTCTTCATTGGTATAGATCTATATTTGAATTTCTTCTGTTGAAAAGGTTTGTTGGGTATCATACTCTGCTACGAACAAATTTAACTAGTCTAGATATATATGAGGATTTTTTTGCTATGTAAAAAAAAAAAAAATTGTTGTCACAAAGCTTTTCTTACATTTAAACATATTTATTGTCACAAAAGTGTGGCATCACCTGCAAACCCTTAAATGTAGCATGAGCAGTAGGTCTCACATTGCACTGACAACAGATCTTGGCTCCAGTTTAAAGTGGGATTTATACCTTGCATCAAATCAACGCTGTTACTATGGTGTGGCCTAGGCCATACCTATGTCTGAGTACCTCCTCAGAAATGTAACTCTGTCTACCTCCTGTCTGTTTTTATGAGCTAAAACCATTTCCCTCAGTGGAAACAAAGCTTTTATTTACATTCATTTCACAGATAAGAAACAATAAATTGTGAAGACAATAAAGCCTCCACAAAAATAGCATTTTGAGTCCTGTGTGTGATTTATCCCGGCTTCATATGAGTAGAGGAAATCTCCACTCGCTAGGCTAATTTATACAATATAAGATGCCATAGGCTTGCGCTAATAATGTTAGCATGTTGTGTTTGTGGGGAAAATGTGTCCAGCAAAGGATTAATGCTTTGTCTGTGAATGCTGCGAGTTATAGTGAAGCTGATTTTTGTACTTGTGTTTGAAATTGTCACTATTACGCCATGTTTAATGTGTGTTTAATACAGGTTTGAATCAACTCAACATTACCTCACAGAGACCCCACTGTTGAATAGTATTTTGGAGGTGCAACTATATGCTCACAACGGCGTAGGCCATGTGCGTAGGCTATGGGGTAGGCTCTGCATAGAGCTGACGCACAAGTATAAATCCTGATTAACTTATATTTTGTGGTCAGTGTAAAGTGGTTTGTAGTTTTTGGAAAAAAATGTAGTTATTTTGTAGCTGTTATTCATTGCTGAAACCTCCAAATCCATTCAGCATAGACCTGAAGCAAGAAATCTTTGGACTCTTTTGCTGAAATTCAGTGGGACATTCAGAATACTGTTAAGGTTGAACAAAAAATATGCAACAGACAAAACTTACCAAAATGAACCCAACATGTGTTTGTGTGTGTGTGTTTGCAGTATGAGCACCATTCTAAGTCAAGTAGAATCTCAGATGGAGGACAGTCCAGGTCAAAGAAGAGGGAGCAAAGCCTACCAGGTACAACAGACATCTTTACCCAACTGTCTTTTACTGCAAATAGCATCCTTGCCGTCAAATCTGGATGACATAAACATAAAATGTATTATAAATCTCCTCCCTGGACCAGATCTTCCCTGAAGCCAACACGGATGAAGATGGAGATTCCAGCTCCTATCCTGAAGACTTTCTTTACAAGAGGGAACGTCTTCCTTCTATAGTTGTGGAGCCCACAGAGTGCAATGAGCCAGAGAACGGGGAGCTGCGCTGGCCTCCAAGATCCCTATTGGGCCACAATGTGGAGGAGGAGGAGGAGGAGGAGGAAGACAGCAGTGTTGATCACACAGACGGTTCTATGGATGCAGAGCAGCAGGAGGACACAGGGATGGAAGAAGGGTAAGGACCAGAGTGTTATAAACTGTCCCCACACCTCAACCACAGTCTGTCAGATTTTTGAGGACTGTATTTCAGAAATGCTTGGTTGATGTTGACAATATTTTGTGTCACAGTGACAGTGGTATTACTTTTGATCATGCCTTTCAGAGGCATTTTGACTTATTCAGACCTCCAGCCAGAGGAAAACATTGACATTGTATGTTTCTGCAAACTATGACTATGTTACATTTGTATAATATCAGCATTTCTACAGTGAAGTAGTATATGAAGCAACATCATCATCGGGTTGGAGGGCATGGTGGATGGTGTGACACCTGAGTGAGACACTTGCCAAGCTGCAGACTACTGTTTGGGACCAACAAACAACAAAACTGGTTGTTACCTCCGCCAAGGAGGTTATGTTTTTCTGTTTGTCTGCAAAATAACTTGAAAAGTTCTGAATGGATTTTGATGATTTTGACCTTTCAGGAAAGGTTGATAATGGGACAAGGAACAGATGATAAAACTTTGGTGGTGATCGGTTGAAGCGAAGTGGATAAAATAAGAAAATGGCAGGACATCCAAGCTGCTTGGCGGAGGTCTGCGCTCTCTGAGTGTTCTAGTTTTTTAGAGTCCTCACTGTGTTTCCAGTGGCTTTTTAGTCAATAAATGTGGATTTTTCTTAATGACATGTTGCTGTGTTTCCACCATGTTCCTGCCAAGAAAAGCCATTTTTTTAATTAATTACTAAGCTAGGATACTGCCAAGAAAGGGGTTGTTTTTGGTTTAGACATCGCTGTATTTCCAAACGTGACTGTAACAAGAAAACCCATTGTTTTTTACAGAGAAAACACCACAATTCCAGCTGGGATATTGCCAAGAAAAGGGGTTGCTTTTTACTGAGACATTGCCGTGTTTCCAGCTGTTATTGTGCCACCAAAAGCAGTTTTTTTACCAAGACATCTGTGCACGTCCAGCCATGAATGTTCCAAGACAAGCCATTGTTTTTTACTGAGAAAACACCACATTCCCAGCCAGGATAGTGCCAAGAAAAGGGATTGTTTTTTACTGAGACATTGGCACGTTTCCAGCTGTGATTGTGCCAACAAAAGCAGTTGGTTTTTACCAAGACATCTGTGCAATTCCAGCTGGGATAGTGCCAAGAAAAGAGGTTGTTTTTTTTATTGAGACATCACCGCATTTCATGCTGGAATTAAAAGTTGTTTATTACTGAGACATAGCTGTGCTTTTTTTTTCCAAGATATTGCCATGTTTCTAGTTGGGGTAGTGCTAAGAAAAGGGGTTGTTTTTTACTCAGACATTGCCATGTTTCCAGCTTGGATATTGCCAAGAAAAGGGGTTGTTTTTTACTGAAACATTGCTGCATTTCCAGCAGTTTTTTAGCCACTAATTGTGGGTTTTTCTTAGTGACATGTTGCTGTGTTTTCATCATTTTCCCGCTAAGAATAGCCTTTTTTTTGTCCTACCAAGGCATCGCAACATTTCTAGCTAGGATAGTGCCAAGAAAGAAGAGGTTGTTTTTTGAGACTTCACCATATTTTCGGCTGGGATTGTGCCACGCAAAGCAGTTGTTTATTACTGTGACATCGCTGTGTTTCCACCATGTTTACTCGGACATCACCCTGTTTCCAGCTGGAACTATGCCAAGAAAAGCCATTGTATTTTACCAAGAAAATGCCACATTTCCTGCCAGGATATTGCCAAGAAAAGGGGTTGTTTTTAACTGTGACATTGCCACACTTCCAGGGGTGATTGTGCCACCAAAAGCAATTGTTTCATATCAAGACATTGCTGCATTTCCAGTGAACTTTTAGCCATTAAATGTGGGTTTTTCTTAGTGACATGTTGCTGTGTTTCCACCATGTTCCCACCAAGAGAAATATTTTTTTAACCAACACATTGCCACGTTTCTAGCGAGGATAGAGCCAAGAAAATGGGTTGTTTTTGACTAATAAGAAAGGATGGTAGAGGGCTGGGCTAGAAAGCCAAACAAAGGCCCACACGCTGAAATCAATGCAAAAATCGTCTATTTATTTTAGACATCTGTGCACAAAAATGGTGCTCAAAGTGCAAACAAATGACAGAGTGAGTAAAAACAGCAGCAAACAATTCAGTCCTTGACCATCATTAGTGCTACTGACATGAGTGCTTCACAGAACAGATATAGACACAGACAGATTAGATGTGGTGAATCAGTCAGCTGGTGCCACTAATTCGATGAGATCAGCTCTGAGGAGCAGAAACATGACTACACAATCACAATGACCTGTCCTATGAGCACTACACTATTTACAGCATCCTCAAACACCAATATAAGATAGCAGAAGAGATAGCTGTGAATTATGCCACCAGGGGCAGCTGTTTATTACTGAGACATCGCTGCATTTCCAGTGGAGATTGTGCCACAAAGGAGTATTTTAAGCCAAAACATGATATTTTCCGAACAACAACCAAGTGTTTTTTGTCCCTCGACCTAACCACATATTGACCAGACATAAAGTTTCAATGCATCTGCTACATAATACATACAAATGTAATGTATCCATGGTTTGCAAGACCATAGAAAGCCAACATTATTTGTTGTGATTTAATTGAATTTTCGCTGTATCTAACTGTCTCTCCACTATCAGGGGACTTTCAGGGCATTAGTACAACAAAAGCTAGCCTTTGCTCTGAATTAAAATGGAATTACATTTCTAAAAGATCTTCAGATTGTCAATATTGTTTGTATTCAGTGCACTACCTGACTGTGTCTGTCCACTTCCACTGTTGCAGCTTGATTGCGAGGAAGTCTTCCATCGGACCGTCCCTGAGTCAACTGTCCCTCTCCCGGCTGACCCCTCCCGCCTCCCCGACTCCCCCTGAGGCCGCCCCACCCTGCCTGAGGAGCTGAACCGGTGCAACCAGTATGGACTGATGGCACTGCAGTTCACCTGAACTGTAACTTTTATGATGTGTAACCTCTGCGTGTTTGACTTTCCCAATGAAAGAGAAACCCTATGGGAAGGTTGAGATGACTACACATTTCAGAATGTCTGCACTAAGTATGGTCCATTTCTAATAAGTAACACTAAGCAGTTTCCAGTACTGCTATTTTTGGATTGATACCTCTAGTTTAAATTAATTTGTGCTGCACTTTGTGGGCACTCTATCTGACACAGTGGACTAAAGGTAACCAGAGACCGTAGCAACAACCTCCTGGAATCTTTCCTTTGCGACTCAAACCTCATCCCATGGCAAATAAGCATGTGATGAACGACTGTCAGGGCCAGTTTACTAATCACTAGCATGAAAGCTCATCCCAGGCCCAGCAGTTGTAGTTGAAGTGGCCTGTGTGGGTGTTTTTAAATGAAGGACTTTAGGAAGTCCCAATGGTTTGAACTAAGTTCTGACCAATACGGTTTATGACAGTTGTTCCCAACTGGTCCAGCAATGGAGTCCTCTGTGGTCATTAGTTCAAGGTCCACACAGTTTAATGTATTCCACGTCAAACTTGGCCATGTCATTGAGCTCTTCAAAATGAAAGCTCTGTGCTGCAAATTCACTGTACTTTAAAAAAGAGTGCTTTTTACAAACTTGACACATTCGTGAATCGCTTGTGGTCCATTCAGAACGGACCCACGACCCACCAGTTGGGAACCACTGGTTTATGAGGTCTCGATGGACCACATTTTGTGCCGGCATTGAATATTGTTAAATGACATCACCAAATAATTCTTATTTTTATGTGTCAGGGAGCATAATCCTCTTTAATGGGATTTAGACCATGTCGAGACAACACAGCTCTAAATTCGTACAAACCCTCATTATTGAAAAGATTTGCTGCCACGCTTATACTGACCTTATTCTCAGATATTCTCTGCATGTCTGTATTCTGTGTGCAGTCCTTCAAAATATTCAAATTTATACAGGGAAGTCACATCATTGTGAACCGGATCATGTGTACTGAACATAAACGGTTACATTGATTTGTTAATATCCTATTTTTTAATAAGATGCTGTTATCAACAGCTTTCTATAGGTCCACCCCTATGTCAAAAAAGTGAAAAGAATATAATAGCCCTGTGACTGTTTGTTGAGAACTTCAGTGTTAATTGTTTTATAACCAAAGTTGTTTGATATCCTGCTTTTTCCTTTGGCTTAAAGGAGGAAACATTTAGAAATCTAAAACTCCTGATTCATTACAAAACACTTTAGTTTTTTACAGATGCATCATGTGTTTGTCACGCTTGCTTTGTTGACTGACTTTGGTGAGGACTCCTGAATATAACGAAACATTACTAAATGCTGCTACAGTCCCAGATGGACAAAGCTGAGTGAGAGTCCAGATGTTCTTTACTACTAACACATGAAATGTACAGTAAAGAGAGTAATGTAGAACTTTTGTATCATGTTTCTGTGTAATTCTACTGTAGTGAAACCTCTGTGTGCACTTTTCCTTGATGTTCCGCCAGGTAAGCCTGGACTGCTATTGTACAACAATAAAGTTGAATTTATTTCCAAACGGTTCTCGTGCAAAGTTCATTAAATAAATAACCAACCCAACTGCCAGAAAAAATATTAACATATAGGTTTCTGCAGTTCACTGATATGTTACATAATCATTATTATTTCAATCAGGAGAGACTCGTTCTGAGGGAAAAGAATATTTATTTACATGTGCACATAAATATGAGAAATGTGAAAGTTTTTGGCGAGTAGACCCCTTTGTGGTGTCATATGTTCCAGCAGGGTGTTAAAGACGTAGTAGATTAGGGATCTTGTTGTCGTTGCCTTCTTTTACTGGGATTTAGCCATTTTAATGTTCAGGCTTGCCTTTCCCTGTGCAAATCTTCCACCAATCCAAGTTCCCCTCTGATGCTATTTTGCAAGGGCACCAGTGATTGTGATTGGTTTAGAGAAGTATAAACAACCCAGAGCGCCTTTTTTCTCTAAGAGTTACGATGGGTTCAGCGAGACCCATCTTCAGCACTGACACAGCACTAGACTGACTATACAGTGGTCTGCCTTGGTCGGCATTTTCAAGCTGAAGAATGAAACCGTGTCTAGCTCCAAGTCAGCACAAAGATGACACTTGCTGTGACAGCAGACAAATAAACCCTGAGGGGCACAGCAAGTGTGCGTGGTGTCACGAGATCTCAGTAACAACACTCAGACAGAACACTGTGCATGCAGCTGCCCTCATACCAAACAGCAATACAAGACCATTATAGGAAATCATAAAGTAGTTATTTTAAAGTGTTGATGTGCTGATGTTGAATCAGATCTGTTGTTATTTATTTAAAGACCTTCAGATGATCAATATTGCATCAACACACTAGAAATTTTCTTCCTCATGTGACTCACTCTGGATGTTTGCAGTCAATTTAGAGTGACCATGTGATTACAGCACCTGACCTCTAGAGGGAAGCAAAGACCTCCAGTCCCGCATGGTGAAACTATTTTCATATGACAGTAAAATATAGTTTAATGTTCCCAAACAGTGTGTATAGGGTACACTTCTCACCACACATGAACCATCTATAAGCATTTAAACACTTTATTTTACTCAATGTAGACAAATATTTCTCATATAAATGACTATTGCCTGTGGCAAACCTACATTTTAGAATTCCACTTTTTATTCATCTGTTCAGTCATATCTGCACAAACCGACAGTACTGTTATTGGAACTCAACACATCCACAGGCACCTGGTACCCACACGTTCTTAGACTCAAAATAATGATTCAGCAGCCACAGCAGTGCAACTAAACACCAAATCATTACAGTGCAGCAGACATATCACAAACAAAAAAGCTTGTCCATGACCTCTTAAAGGGAAATTTCAGTTTATTTCAACCTGTCTCCTATCGTCCTAAATTTGTTATAAGTGAATAGTGACATAAAAATAATAGTTAGCATGTTAGCCGTTAGCCTAGATACAGCCGGGGCGCATAGTAGCATCAGACCTGTTAAAACGTAAATGAACGGGCATCCTTTCAAGTGCAAAGTTAGTCCAGTAAACAAGCTTTTTTTCCACAAAGACCGCCTCATATCGTTAGGATAAATGTCAGAGAACATATAGAAAACGACATGTAAACGTGTTGTCTTAAAAAACACAAAACACTACCGCTTTTGTCCACAGGGTCACCAAAATCAACTCAAAATGAAAGCTCCTTGTAGAGGCTTTAAATCGGGAGTGTTGGCAGGTATGCGGGACGCGAACACCGCTCTCCCAGGTAAGTTGGTGTTGATTGGAACCATCCACTACCCCTCTTACCCACCCTACTTGGACTTTCGCTGCCTTTACTTTTGTTCTTGTACTGCCACGTTTCCCCCGACACCGCCGAGTGCTGTTAAACCATTAAGGAGACCAGCTGCGTATCATGCCGATGTTAAAGGACGGCTTTCTTCAGTGTCTGACACCGCAAGCCACTGCCCAAGCACCAGATTTCGATGACTTCGGAGTGAGAACAGGTTGACCCTTCCATTTATCATACCAAGGTCATACATTGATAAATTTAGCAATTCTGTTCAGTCCCCCATAAGACATAGCTTTGGTGATTTAGGTACCGTCGTACCCAGCCTCTTCACTATGCGATTCACAACTTTTTCCCAAAATGGGTTAACCAGATTACGTTCCCAGATTGGATGTAGAAATGTTTCTGTGTCTGTTTCTACATTTTGTGTAAATTTTGTTTTGGGGAAACAGTGAGATTAAACCGTTCTTTATTCTGCTGAGAACATTATTAAAAGAACCGTTCTGGATCTGGATCAACAGTGGCAACCACTGTTCTTGACTATCAAAGTTTGCACAAAGGCTCCACAAAAAAAGCTGACTGTGTGATTCTGTACATTTCCTAACAGTTCGATTTAGAAATTCAGAATATGTCACAAGTCTTATGATACGTCCTTGGATCCAAAGAGCACCTGCACATTCATGAAGTAGCAATCATCAGCCAATCTACTGGCATTTGCTCTTGCTATGGATGTTTAAACTTTTCTTGGCATTTCATCCGTTACTTTTCCCTGCAGAGCTGCATGGTGAAATCTCCTCAGTCAGCAGAAATTACAAACACTCCCTACACACATAAAGGAACCCTGACAGAGGGGATGTGTGGTACTGAAATGATAAATCATGAGAGATAGGTTACAGATTGGATTTTTTTCCCTCTCAGACAGACACCATCTGACATCTGACTATATGAAGCAATAACACTGTAGATAGTATGGCCGACTTCCAGTCTGAAATGGGCCTATGTATCATAAATGCCAAGCAGTCGTTATGTGAGATATACATTAACTTCTCTCGTCTGTGTTACATTTATCAGAGTTGAATTTAAAGCTCGGGGGGAAGGGGGCCCCTGGGGAGAAGATATCAGAGGTTGCCTGACATTTCCCAGGCATTGGAGAAACAACGCTGATACTGAGCCACACTGAGCAGTCTCTTTTTTCGATCTTTGCTTGCCTGCTCTGATGGTTCCGTCGCCGTCTCCGCAAGACTTGTTTTTATATTAATTCTAGACTAAACATTAGACTCTGCTGTGGTCTATACAATGCAAGGCAATTGGAAGACTGCTACTCAAACCCATGTGGGAAAGCCAGTATTTCAACAACAGATGTACTGGTAATTGATCTTGACTTTCAGGATACATGCCCACAAGCACTGAGATTAGATCTTTTTTCAGACTTTGGCCCTCAGATGTACTCAGTTGTAATGAATAGTTTCTGTTGGTCCAGAAAAGGCAGCACTGGCTGAAACACCTCCATGATGTACAAACTCTACCACAGTTACACATCTTTTACTAAAGAGAAAAAGTGTCATTCAAGAACAGTTTTAAGTTTGTGACTTGATCTCTTAAATTTGAAGACATTAAAGGGACAGTACATCGACAAGACAAAAATATATATTGATCCTCATCCTTGTAGTAATAGTTTAGCAAACTAGGTCAAAACATTCTCACTCCAACCTCGTCACATATTGATGTTTGGTCATGGACTTTCCACGTCCAGATAAAACGTGCAAGGCTACCCTGGGTGCGTTGGTTGCTGACGTTCTGGAACATTGTGTCAACTTCCGCCTGTTACATGCATTGTCTTCTTTCAAAATACACTTCTGTTTTCACAGGAAGTTTATTGTTACATACAGTCTCTTTCAAAATAAATGCACTACATCGGTATAACGCCGTCCAAATTGGCATTTTTTTTCCTTCAACAACAAACACACGTGGTTAGGTTTAGGAAGTCAGTGTTTGTTGGACCCACCCACCCCATCTGGACTTTCGCTGACTTAACTTTCATTCTTGTCCCACCACATTTCCCATTGACGCCGCCGGGCACTGTTTAACCATAATGGTGGCCGTCAGCGTATCATGCCAACGTTAAAGGTCGCCTATTTTCATCAGTCTGACACCACCAGTCACTGCCCAAGCACTGGATTTCGATGACTTTGGAGTGAGACCAGGTTGTCTAGATTGGTCTGATGTGAGCTGCAGAGTGTTGGAGA